AAATGATGGAAACCGTATCCATGAAGAACGAAATGATTCAAAGCTATATCCTCATTTGTGAGATCTTTAATGTATGGGGAATTGATTTCATGGGCCCATTCCTCATCTCTTTTGGTTATACTTACATACTCTTGGTAGTTGACTACGTATCAAAGTGGGTGGAAGCAAAGGCTACAATACATGACGATGCTAAAACAGTCATTGACTTCTTGATGCCAAATTTTTTTGCAAGATATGGTGTACCAAGAGCCCTGTTGAGTAATAGGGGCACTCATTTTTTCAACAAAATGATGAAAGCCATGATGAAGAGATATGGTATCACACACCGGATATCAACCGGTTACCATCCACAAACAAATGGACAAGCCAAAGTGTCAAATAGAGAAGTCAAGAAAATTCTAGAGAAGATGGTCAACACCACACGAAAAGATTGGAGCTTGAAGTTAGAAGATGCACTGTGGGTATACCAAACTGCCTACAAAACTCCAATAGGCATGTCTCCATTTTGCAGTTAAAATGTTTAATTCCACATCACTTAAAATCATTTTATTTTTGGTCAAAAAGTTCTTCTTTATCATTCACGTTTAAAGCTATTCCCGAGAACATTGCGATCGCGATGGCACAAACCTTTTATTTTTATAAAAGTGTTTAATCATGGTGTGGTTGAAATCAAGAGTTTGGAAATGAATCAAATATTCAAAGTGAGTGGACACCATGCAAAACCATTTTATGAAGGATTTGACATGGTAGAGTTCGACAATGTAACACTGGAAAATACGATTTATGAAGGTTGACGGAAGCAGGACTATGTCTTGGCAAAGACGTTAAATAAATGCATTGTGAATAAATAATCTCTGCTTGAATTTTGAATGATTCTAGGCTTGAACTCTGTCAAAATAAAACATCTTGAGGTTTAGCAATGATTATGTGAAGTTTGGAAGAAAACTAGAGCTTGTGGAGCGAAAATTGCAAAAAGTATCAAAAATCTACAATATGTGTGGCCTGACTGCTTAAACGCGCAAAAGTTGCATGGCCCACTACTCACCCACGCAAATCCAAAATCAAAATGATCCAAATTGTGGTGGTTTCTGATGTCCATGGCCGACTGGTCCCTCACCCTCATAGGTTTTGTGAGACTGATAACTTACCCTCGCAACCGACTGTGTGACTGCGTCCTACCCTCACAGACTTGAACACGGCCAAGGCTTGTTGCCTATTTTAATTACGCGACCCCCTTATAACCATATTTCTGACCCATCAGCCTTATAACTCTAACCTGGATCCAACCCATTTTCAAAACCCACCAGATAAGCTGACCCATAACCGAGCCAACCTTATTACTCCATCCATCAGACTTAACACCCTATCCCTCCCATTGAATACACTCCCCACCCCAGCTTCCGTTGCTGCCGACGGAGCCCAGGCCACCAACGACTGCAGTCATCGCCACCATCTGCAGCCTCTCGAACGTCGTCGCTATCCACCCTCCTACCTCTGACTGCCACCCACCTATTTCCCTTCTCTACATCCAACAACAATATGACCCTCCTCGTCATCAACTATCTCCAACCACCACCAAATGATTTTTGTTGCCTCCTCTGTCCACTCGATCACCACCGGACAACACACCCTTACCATCACCCAATTTCGACTGCCACCAACTACCCACCAGTGGTAAATAGCAGTGCCGCCTACACCATTTTGCATCTCGCCGGAAAAGCATAAAACCCCCACATCTCCACCAATTTCAATCCAAATTCAAAAATTATTGGGGCATTCTTCACCAAATACTCCTGTGCAAGTTGATCCGTGGTTAATTTGACAAAACTCGCTCGCCAGAAAAGCTTGCTCTACCGCTGGTTGCTGTCTGCCGCTGCCACCAGCCACCACCCCTCCTTTGGACGAAACATTTCAAATTTCTTGTTTCTTACTAGAGATTCAAAAGACTCAACCTTCCGGGTCAAATTTAAGCATGGGGTGTGGTTATAGTGGTTTTGTTTTTGGGTTTTGGCACTTCAATTTGGTATATTCTTTGCGATTTTATGGCATTCAATTTATAATTTTGCTAGACTTATGTTATGCATTAGGTTGCTTAGAATCGACTCTCTTTGAATTGATTGAATTACATTACCTTGAATTGTGCCAAATTGTAAGTTTGGATTGATTGCCCAATTTATTAAAAGATTTGCATTGATTGGATTGGTGTGAGGCGAGTGTGAGGGATAATATTTGTTAACGTTTTTGTCTTTGCTAGGTTTTATTAACATGTAAAATGGGAAAGAACAAAAAAAATCACACGTCTCATGGTTCTTCCTGCAAAGCTCAATCATCAAGGTCATCCAAGAAAAGTATCAACTGAGCATGTCGACCTTGATGGTAACCCTTCCCTCACTAGTGCACAAATCAAGAAATTCAAATCAAACATACAAAAACATGCAGTCTGAGCCACCAAATTCTACTACCGGTAGTCAATGATAAACCTTGGCATTAACGATTTCTTAAGACAGATGGTCCTCATAGATATTTCCACACGTACATACGAGCAACCCACACTTGATTTACTTTCTACTTATACACAGGATGACACAATGGAGGTACTCACATTTAGACTCTAGGGTCGGCAATACCGAATAACATATGAGACCGTCAACACTATCATGGGCACATACCATAACCAAAACACCAACATCCCTAGTTATCAATGGACTAATGTCAAGTGCCTACCAAAAGCGGAATTTTGGACTCAGCTCACGAGTCTTCCACACTTCAATCCGAGTCGACAAAAATACCCTTACATCATCGATCATTGTTGCAGAATCGCAGACCAGATTCTTTCCACTTCCATCTTTGGTCATCACGAGCTGAGACAAATGAACACAGTCGAGCTATATTTCCTCTATTGCATGTCTCGACGAAGTTGGTCTCATCCCGGTTTTGCCACTTTCTTCTAGGATATATGTGAAAACATACACACGAAGTCCACTGGAGATATTTGCATTGGGGGTCTCATTAGCCTAATTGGTTTGGGTATGGGCCTTCATGAGGCAGGGAGTTTAAGTCATGGACTCGCCGAATCGGGTCCCGGACTTGGCGAGTAGCTGATGTCTGGACTAAAACCCTAATCCAGGGGTTTGCACCCTATTTAAACAACCTTATGCAACCTCCATTCACCCTTTATGCTCCCAAAAACTTCTCATAGCAAACCCTAGCCGTTCTTGAGAAAATCTAAGGCTTTTGAGTGATTCTTGTGAGTTTTCACCTCAAGGAAGAAGGAAGAGCATAGAAGGATCAAGAGTAGACTGAAGGATTCGAGTTTGGTTCATCATTTATAGTCTAAAGAACGTATAAAGTCTGAACCTTGCTCATTCATTTGTTAGATCCCTCTTTGAGGTGATTTAGGGCTTTTATAAGCCATTTTTGGTGGCCAACCATGTTTGCAAACATGGTTGGGGGTTTGAGATTCTGGATCATGTCATTATTGGAGTCACAAGACATATTTGGGTTGCTTTTGCACCCAAGGAAGGCCCCATGCAACAAAAGGACCATTTTAGAGCCTTTTAAGCTCAAAAGTCCCATGCATGCACGTAAAGTTTGTAACTTTACGTGCTAGATCGAGGTTAGGGGCTTGGATCTATCTTTTGGACAAGTGTTATACGTCAGAAATCGATGTTTTAAGGAGGGGATGTGACCAACTCGACGAGTCCATTCTTGGACTCGGCGAGTCTAAGGGTTCTGTCCCATATCAGTGAGGGTCAAAAGGACCAGTTGAGTGTGGAAAGGTTTTAGGGAGTCCCGGGGAGTGACCCAACATCCTGGACTAAGCAAATTGTTCTGGAAATTCATGGTACTCGGCAAGTGCATGAATGGACTCGACGAGTCCAAGTCAATCTCCTTAGAACTCGACGAGTTGTTCATCAACTCGGCAAGTTGAGGACAGATCTGGTTCAACAGATGAAGGCCAACTCGACGAGTTGTTCATCAACTCGGCGATTCGGTTGAGTTTTCATGGGGCATTCGGATGAGAGAAGAACTCGTCGAGTTAACAACCCAACTCGACGAGTAGGGTCGCGGATGAGGACGAGTAGAGAGTGAGGGACTCGGCGAGTTGTTGTCCCAACTAGGCGAGTCGGGTCAACTGGAAGTTGATTTGACTTTGACTTTGACTTGACTTGGTTGGGGGTAAAATGGTCATTTTACCCTAAGAGTATAGAAATCAGTTTCTAACCAAGTATTTGTGGGGTTTGTAGCCGAAGGATTTCCGGAGTAGCAGCGAACGGAGGTTTTCCACACTGATTATCAATAGCTACCTGTACGAGGTGAGTTACCTTCCAGTAGGGGTGGGTCTAAGGCCATAATGCCAGCCCACCAATGAGGAGTATTTAGAAGATGATTGTCTTTGTGATAATTATCTTGGTCTGGTATGTGCTTGGTTATGAGTTATATCTGTATGATATGTTACGTGCATGATAGGGATAGTGGTCCTTAGGACCAAGGGGTGGAATAGTCCCCAGTTACCGGTTGAAAGGTACCGATGATGATTACCGGTTGAAAGATACTGATGACGATTACCAGTTGAAAGATACCGATGATGATTACCGGTTGAAAGATACTGATGGTATTGTATGGTATGTGGTATTATGGGGAACTCACTAAGCTTTGTGCTTACGGTTTTAGTTTTTGGTTTCAAGTACCTCTTCGTCTAAGGGGAAAGAGCCGGCGACGTAGCATGGCATCACACACACATCTGATTTTCCGCACGGCGTTTTCTGGGATTGTACTCAGATATGATATTTGTTATGTTGTGGGTTTCGAACACGATACTTGATTTTATGAGATGACGTGTTTATAAAATATTTTCTAGTGAATGTTTTATGAGTTAATTAACTAAAAATGAAATTTTTGTACTTGAATTTTGGGACGTTACACCATGGTTATTAGCAACCAATGTTTTACACTACACATAGTACACAGAAAGACGAACAACAAGGGATATATACAAGTCAGCCCTTGGAGTTCGAGGAAGAACATCCCGGGCTCAGATTACCATAAAATTGACGGAAGCCATCATAATCTAACTCCCCTAAATGGAGGAGGCCACGACAATCTGTCTTGACAAAAGATGTAAGGGCAGTGTTGACCTCCTTGGCCCTGCTCGCCACTTGGTCAGAATCTGGAACTTCAGATTTACTGGAATATGTGGAGCAAGCACTCAGTAGCCTCTGCTTCTCAAACCTAAGGGCTTCACAAGCGTCACGAACATCCTGGACCCCTTTGGCGAACTCAGCGCTCTCAATGACCCTATCAACCACACGAACCACCCCCTTATGCAACACCCATTGCAAACTACCTTGAGCAATGAAACCATTAGCATGGCTCGAGCTAGTTGACATTGGCACCTTACTAGTCTACTTTCCAGTGCATCCTTCTCTCGAGTGAGAGAACTCACTTGCTCCTCAAGTCACTCGGACCGGTCCTCCAAATTAGCCACCTAATCATCTAAAGCGGCTTTCTCGCAGGCCATAATGTTGTTCTGCTCAGCAAGAACTTGATGATCCGCCTCAGAATCACAAACCTACTCCCTCATGCCCTAAGGCAGCATGTAGTACTTTCAATTTCCCCTTACTCGCATCGGCTAGGCGAACCCGAACGGCGGTAGGAACCATAAGGGCAGAGGTCTGGTCTGCGGTGTAACAAAGGTCACCAGCCATGCGAGCACTTGATTAACCCACAAGCAAACTCATCATCGTCATAGGATGAGTGCACCTAATCCACCTAGAGCGTAGGCCCCAAAAGACGGGGAGTAGGATAAAGTTCCTGCTTTATTGATAAAAGAAGGCTTCTCACGTTGAAGAGAACCCCCACGAGAACTGGGCATCACCACCTCTCTCTGCTCAAACATAGCAAATTAACCGCCAAGAATATCCTTAATACCACCAAGGAGCCTGCCCACATACACAGTCCTATGACCTTTACGAGGATGAACACCCGTATCTTCGGATTATATCTCTTCATCTAACGATGGTACCATACGCAAGCTCTGCGTTTTCCGAGTAGGTGCATTACTTCTTCCTATTTGAATACCCACAGGTAAACCAGAATGAACAACAACTGGTGAACGTATTGGGGAAACGGCTACAAAGGTTGGATGAGAAGGAGATGCAGGCTTGCTAGAACCCGGATTTCCCCTATCAACCAAGAATAGCCCAGAAACTCCCGCATGTTCCTTTCAGACACAGGGGGAGGAAGAACCTCTACGAGATCAATCTCATGATGGAAAATATTGCCTTGATAGTAACCATGCAGGGTCATCTCCAAAGAAATTTCGTCCTCCGCACCTATGAAAGAAAACACTAAAAGTAAGATATCACAAGCCAACAAGATACCTTATCCTCACTCTGTTTTAAAAAAAGGGGGAGATGAATTAATATTGCATCTCACGAAGAACATCTTGTTGGGTTTTAGCCATAAGAACTTTCCTATGTGCGCATGCAAAACCCTATTGCTTGGATCTAGGCTTTCTAATAAACATGCTTTTGAATCCAAGTCTTCTAATGGCTAATTAGATTAAACAACAACATTAAAACAGATCTAGAATCATACCTTTGAGTTCCTTGTTGATCTTCTTGTCTTGGAGCTTCTAGAGTCACAATTGTCACTCCTCTAATGGCTTACAAACACCAATAGCAAGCAAGATGATTTAGGAGAGAGGAGAGGGGATGGAATTCGACCAGAGGTTCCTTGCTTTAGGTTCTGAAAGATTGTACACGAATTCCACACCCCAAGGGCCTATTTATACCTTTAGACTCCTTAAAGGTTTCACCCTAAACCCTAATTGGATAATCTTCACTTAAGGCTATCCAAATCCATTCCATAGATATCCTTATGGACTATTTTGAGCTATCCTAAAGCTCTTAGAAAGCGTCCAAAGTCAACCCTAATGGATTTATAGTCCAAAGTCTAACTATCAAACAATTGACAGTTTATACCCTCTTATTTAATTAATCTCTTTAAGTCACCAAATTAATACCAATTAATTTATGACTTATATTAATCAAATAGCTAAATATTATTCCTTATAATATTTACTCTCTCTTAACAAATCATCCTTCAAGTTGCTATGGTGAAGGCAACCCAAAAGGACCATGCACAACCGAATATAGTTACAGCCTTAGACACTATTCCAACACATCTATGTTGTCTTCTTGTGATCCCTACAAATGACACTCATACTTCCCGCAAGAAGAATGGGGTCTTCCCAATTCTCTCCACAGAGAGTAACACTCCCCAGCCATTTGCCGAGAGCCATATTGTCCCTAAACAACCTGGGGAGACGGTCGGGAAAGTCTATTTTCCTACAATACCCATACCCCACGAGGTTTTGATCAACCCAAGCCATTGCCTTTGCCAATTCTTCTTCGAAGTATCCAACTCATAGATCAGTTGGTGAATGCCTTGTCGCTTAGCTAGGGTACGGACAACGGAGTTCGTAGTTGAGAAGAAAAAGTAACTGAAAACCCAGAAGGTGGGAATGCGACCCAAAGAGCGACAAATCAGTTCAAAACCGACGATCTTATTGACAGCACTCAGGGTTAACTCGTTGACAGTAAAACTGTAATGTTGCACAATCATATCGAAAAAATCCGATGTTGGCAGGCGCAAACCTGCTTCGAAAAAAGGAATGGGAACCCCTGTTGGATTAGGTGTCTAAGCTCATAACCTTTTTTGGTATATACTTGATTTGATTATGAGCATGGTCCTTTTGGGTTGCCTTCACTTATGCAACTTGATAGGATGACAAGTGGAGAGAGAGTATGATTTATTATATGAATAATAAATTGGTACTCAAAATAGTTTTATTAATATATTATAATATTAATATATTATTTGGAAATCATATTATTTAATTAGTATTGATCAGAATAATTTGGAATTAAATTAGTAACCAAAAGAGACTGATTAAATGAATGGGGACTGATATTTCAAATCACTGATAGTTGCAATTGGGTTGATGGATCACTTTAGAATAAGTTTGGAAGAATTCTATGGGAAGCCCATAAAAAATTTGTCCAAGGAGTATTCTAGAAGGTGTACATGGGCTGCTTAATGCTTAAGAAGTCATATAGGGTTTCCACCTAAAACCCTAGTAGCCACAAGTATAAATAGACCCCAAGACTAAGGATTTTCAACCCTATGCTTTATGAAACCCTAAGGTGGCCGATTTCTACCTCTCCAATTCATCATTGTTGTGTAGAGTGTTTGTGACACCATTAGAGGTGTAACACTTGGGGTACAAAGCTTTCAAGGGTCAAGGATTAAACTTGTTATTACTATATAACAAGCAAGGTAACTTTATAACCCTAATTTCATTGTGACTTTGACTATTGTATACTAGATCTAGGGTTATTGATTTAGTGTTATTATTTACATGTTCAATAGAGAAAAACTTATATCCAAAGGAATTAGAGGTGCATGTACACTAGCGGAATGTTGTAGTGCTCATAACCCATCAACCCCAAATTTCCCTGGAAGATGATCATAGATCGATACTCCCTTTGCCGAAATCATTACACCATGCTCCGGTAAAAAACCGAAGTGATCTTGCAAAAATTGGAACTCCTCAGCAGTAGGGACTATACTGTAACGGTCCATCGACGAGGACAATAAGTGATTGAAAAGAAAATTTCTCATAATACCCAGATAGATACAACGAGAGTGAAGAAAGGGGGTAAGGATGAAAGGCCATGGAAAAAGGGGGTTATAAAGAAAAAACTGATGTCACAAACCATCTCACGGTGAATTTGCCACATTAACAGCACTGCCTAAGGCCCGTCAAACGATAGAACTAATCCCAGACAAACACGTGTCGAGATATAGTCTCGAACGATGATGTTATCATAACGACGCATGCACCTACAAGCCTAAGGTACTTGTTAACATATCCTTCCAAGAAACGTCAAAAGAGAAGTCAAACTAACACCAGACTTGGCCTGGTCAGAACCCAGCCAAAAACCAAGTTCAGGCCTTCACCAACACGGGGCGTTGATTAGGCGGTTAAGGTGTAGAGCCACGCCTTAACCCTATCTCTAGGAAATCATACCCCGATAAATGTGGAACCACTCAGAGATTCCACTCGCCCATCAGACGATAGCCATGATCTTTGTGAACATTTGGAAGATCTCCTTCCAGCCAATGTGAGGAGGAGGCAAAAGACGTCACGGAGGACCCTCCAATATGCATCCGACATGTCGCATCTCACGAGAGAATCCTTAATAGAATCAGTTAAGAGACATGTATCTGAGACGGGTATAAAAGGATCCTTCTTCTCACAAAGAAGGGGATGAAAATTCTCTCTTCTGTAATCGCTTAACATCTCTCTCAGATCTCATACTAACTAGTTCGTTGGAGCTTCGTCCCGAGACCCCCTCCTGGACGTCGACTAACAATCTCTATTATGTTTTGTACTGCGATATCAGGGGAAGTCGTTTTAGCAGGATTCATCGGCAATCTTGTCTCATCCATTCTCCAAAATAACACAACAGGGTGATTTTTGTTAAAACAATTAACTCTAGGTATAGATTTTGTTAAAATTATCCAACAAGGCACTGATCTTGTAACTTATTTCCAAAACAGGGGTTGAACTGCACATCTTAAGCCTTTGTTGGAGTTGTAGGACCAAATCTGTTAACATTTTTGAAGAGGGGCTACTTTTAATTAATTTAAATGGAAGTTTGGGTTTAATTTGAGAACTATTTCAAAGGGGTTTATTTTGTAAAATCCGCAAACATGGAGGTTTATTTTAAATAAACGGAAATCGGGTTTGCACAGTGTCATCCTCCCGCCTCCATCACTTTTACAGGTAGAAGAAACGGAAACAAGACCCATATGTTGAGTCTCTTGGCCAAGGTCGATTCTAATGAATGAAAAGAAATGAAACACAAAAGATGGCAACACCGAAGGACTTACAGTGGCAGAAGATGATCAGAAATTTAACAGTGGCGACAGAAATGGAGTGGGCGACAATAGCGGAGGGTGGCTGAGCTATGGTGGCCTCTTGATGACCGGTTTCTACTTCTGTTCGACATGAATGACGACTTGGAGATGTAAGGGAGGTCAATGAAGGTATTTTGGTAGTAGTAGTTGTAGTGGGTGGTGGTGGTTTGCATCGGTAACCCAAGTAAGAAAAATGGTGGAGGGTGGCGGTGTTTCTTGGTGGTTCTTAGTGGCACAGCTCCAAGACCGGAAATACAGTTGATGGTGGTGTTTCGTGACAACCAACAAGGCAGAGGGTGAGTTGAGAAGGTGGTGGTTGGTTTAACTTGACTGCTTCTTCTCTCAGTTTTTTTGACACAACAATGGAAGGAGGGTGGTTGCAAAGGTGTGGGTGGCGACTGGTAGTGTTAGGGTTGCTGTCTAGGTGGTCGGAAAATAGCTCCACCTCTGGTGGAGTTTTCTTGATTGAACATGAAAAAGAAGGAGGGAAGGAGAAATGGAATAGGAGAGCAATCAGGTGGGTGGTGTCCTTTCTTGAATTGTCAAAGGTCTAAGGCCAAGAAAGGGCTGGCTTTTTTAAGCATGCATGCAAGCATGTCCTTTGTGTCCCCCTTCATTTATCCCATAGAGGTCACCTCGATTTACGGGATATCAGTTTCGGATCTCGTAAATATATTTCGAAAGTCCCCAGATGATGTCACGGTTTTGAAGATTTCAAATATTCAAATGGAATTCAAATCTGATGTATGGATCTCCATGAAACAACATTCAAAGTTTCGCGTCAATCGGGTTCCAATTCATCAGTTTTCGCAAATCCGATTTCGATCTAACCTAAAATTATTGGAATAATAAAATCAAATACTAAAATGAAGCCTACATTCAATAATGTGCTCAAAATTTATTTACAAGATGGGTAGCTACCTCAAACTAAGATGTGTAGTGTCCGGTACCAGGTAAAATCAGGTATATACATATTTAAAAGCTTAAAACTTGCATAACTTTCTCATACGATTTCCGTTTTGGATGTTATTTATATTGTAACACCTGTGTTTCGAGGCTAAGCATTAATGATGATGTAATAGTCAAGTTCAACCATTGTAACTCATTTTGAAGTAATAAAGATGAATTATTTGATTATTATGTGAATTTATGTGCTTTATACTTAATTATGATGATATAATAAATTAAACATAAAAACAAGCATAAAAAATGTTAGATAAACCCGATGTCTATGAATAAAGTTGTAGTGGTCGTGACAAGGATATCGGAGATATAAAGAACACCAAAATTCGAGTTATAACGAAGAAGTTTTGACTTGTCGAAGTTTAACGACAAACCAGCACGACACCAGGAATCGGAAAATGTGAGTTTACGATAAGGTACTTTTTAGCCTTATGGGTCTAAATGAAATTTTTATAGTATGTCTCCACCTACGTGTGGATATAAAGAACGTTAAAAACGAAGCTCATATGCAAAATTTATGGCCTTCCAAAGATGTAGCTGCCTGAGAGCATGACACGTGTCAGAAATCCTAATCAAAATGGACTCAAGATGTGACATGAGTTCTCATGACGCGAGGAGTCAAAACGCTATTTTCAAGGCTAGAATGCAGATGAAAAGTCTACGTTTAAGGCTCGCGACGTGAGCATGATTTCTCACGACGTGAGGAGTCAAACGGACACTAATCGAGGCTAGAAAACACATGGGAAGGCTACAAGATGACTCATGGAAGATCACGACGTGAGCATGTGAGGCTCACGATGCGAGAGATCCAAAATCAGCCTATAAATAGAAAATTTGATCATTTCATTCCTTACACCTTTCTTTTTCTCTCTACTCTCTCTCTCTCTCTCTCTCTCTCTCTAGCCACCCTAAACTACCTCAAAGTCTAGGGAACCTTCCTTGTACTAGAAGAAAGCCCCGAAGCACCTTTTGTCTCCAAGAAAAAGAGTTTTTCGGTTTGAAACTCTGCCTGCACAAAGCCCGATTTTCAAGCGAACCTCTCGGTTTCATCAAAGAAAATTATTTTAAGAAACGAAGTGATGTCCGAATCACCACCTTAGAATGTGAGTGCATAGTTACTTTCATCTTACACAAAGATATGAAGTATTTTATATAATTTATATGCTATGTGTGCATATTATCTGTTTATTTTAGATCTATACTGGATGAAAGATTTAAACTTTGTTTTTCAGATCTAGACCCATTTCCTTCAGATCTGAACCGTATATGTATTTTCTTTTTAGATCTATTTTTTTTTGCGCATCTGAACTATATATGTATTTTATATCTACAATAATGTTGGGTAGAACAAGCGTAGATGAAATAGTTGGTGTGTGAAGAAAGATGATTTGGAGGATGAGATGAAAGGTGATATAGAACATGAGATGAGGGTGAGGGGTGAAA